TGGAGATAGAAAGGAACTGTATGGGATACCTGATATGCATCAGTAGGGGAAGGTCAGTGGCATGGTCTAATAGTTATGTTGGTGCAATTGAAATATAAAGCATTCTTTTTAGTTGCGGGGCGGGGGGAAGATTGTGTGTGTATAATAGAAAAAGGCATGCTCTGTTGTTAAAAGCTAGTATATACACATACACATGAAAACATCTTATAAGACTAACATTGCCTTTAAAGCAGTTGACTTCACTTTTTTCTCTTTGAAAAATAATCCTGTAGAATCCGAAAAATGGTATTAGTAGAAGGGAACTTCTTCAAGAAATACCTAAAATTGGAGGGTGGAGTAATATTTTTTAAGCTGTGTTTAATTTGTAAACTAACTAGAAATTAAATTTCTGTATTCTTTCATCACTCCGAATTCATAAAGTTGCATTGACGTAGGACCATTAAGAGCATAAAAAAGGACTGCATGCATAAGTTATCTATTAGGAATTGAATAGGTATCACTTGCTCCAAACCCTGCCTTTTTCTTGGTTCTCTCAAGTATTGAAATAACTGGAGGTCAACCAGATTTCTTTTGTAGTCTTTTTAATTGTAATTGCTGCCTAAAGGCACTGGGTAATTAAAAATAAAGATCTCATTATTTGAGGTACTTCTAGCTTTTATCTTAATATGTCAGAGCAGGGCACTAGCTTGATTATACAAATGTTGACATAACGTCCTTAACAGTTAAGGTCAAATGAGGCCCTCTATAGTTGCTTTACTTATTGCTAATATGAAATAGGACTGTTGAATGAGTGCTAATCACTATTTTAACCACTTGATGGTATATAAACACACCTCTGTTTTCACATGAACCGGTTCATTCCATATATCTGGATTTAATATTGCCACATATATGTTCGTTTCATTAGATTGTGTATCAAATTGCAGTAATAATAAGCTTAATCTGTTCTAAGTCTGGATTTCAGGTACTGAAATCCTTAGTTCATTATAGCCATTTGTCACGTGCTTGTATCTAAATTAAAACTGAGATCCCTGCGCTGGAAGCTTTTAGATTATTCTGTAGTTCATCGGTGGGGAAGAGGGCATTTACAGTTGCAAATGTGTACTAGGAAATGATTACGATAGTGTAGAGAGTATGGTAAGTCTGAAATAGTTGGTGACTACAAACTGTGAAGCTTAAAGTAGATTTGCAAGTTTGATGGTTCCATGTGCTGCTGAGGTGAAATTGCAGTTCTGGCTCACCAACATGGTAGGGGAGCCCTGCAAGATGGAGCAGGGTGTTCCTCTGCTGCAGTGAGTTCTGCTGGATCACGAAGCCAGTCTCGTGACAGTAGTTAGTGCTGGTACTGACTAGGGAGCAGTAAGCCATTGGGAGGAAGGTAGGAGTGACTGGGATTCTGCTTTTTCAGTTGAATTATCCCATGAGACAGTGAGTCCTGTGAAAAGAGCCCACCATCATTGAAATGAAAAGCCTTGCTTTTCCCAGCTCTTTGCCATGTAGTTCCTCCGCTACCTTTGTTGAGGTACTTGCAGTACCAGTAGTGGCTAAGCCTCTTCCAATCACTAGCCCGGAAGGAAAATATTCTGGTTTTGTTGGATTAATTTGCCATCCAGTTAGTAGATTGAACTTGGTCATGATGAAGTCCAAGTGAGCCCCAAAGCTGTGGTTAAGGTTAGGGAAGGGGAAGAGCTTGCAGCTGTGAGCCAAGAACCTAGAAAACGGGGTGAGAGAGGAGAGGAACTTTCTCTTTAGGTGGGCATTAGCTTAGATTAGATCATCCTGAGATGGATTGATTGAAGTGAATAGGATTAAATGCTGCAAACCTGTCAGTTGTTTAGTGTGTAGATTTCCTGTGGTAGAACTAAAGTGTGAGGGAAAGAAAAAGAAGTAGTATATTACAGAGTACTTGATACCGTCAGAAGCAAGGTTACTGTCTACCCTTGACTGTTCATTTCAACCCAGCAGCAGTTGTCTGGTGTATCCTTTCTGTGCATTTCTCACCTTTTTGTTTGCTTTTGGCTTGATCAAGAACCAGGTGTTGCTTTCTGTTGTCAGAATTTACTTTGCAGCAATTTACCTGAATCTGATCTGTCACTGCTAGAAATGATGTTTTGACTTTCTGTATTCCTCCACCTGTCAGAAAAAGGGCCAGAACAACCCTGATTGCAGCATGAAAGGACAAAGCTCTATGAAAATAGCTCTGAATGTCGTGTGATAAAGTGTGGAAGAACACGTCTGCTTCTAGGAAATGGCAGAACTAAGAAAATACAGTAGTTTTGATATGAATAAAAAGAACAGGAGAGTATGTAGACTCCATGTGGGTAGCTTAAGTGCTTCAATAGATAATTTGTCTGTCTGACATCCATTAGAAATGGCAAACTCCCTCTGTACAGAGCCGCTGTGCGATATTGGGCCTGTTGCTCAGTTCCGTACCCAGGCATCATTACTGACTTCTGTACATGACCTCTCTTTCCCCCCAAGCTTTCACTTCTAGGCTATGTCTAGGTCTTGACACTATGGTCTGTGTACTATCTCCAAAGTGCTTGAACAGGAAGGTAATGTAAATTATACTCTGTCCAACCTCTTCTGACTTTTATATTTTGATTGTTTTGCTGAAGTCTCATTTCTGGTTGTAAAGTGGAATATTGCCCTGCTTTTACCCAGAATCTGTATGGGTAATTTTGCTAGTCTGTTACTTGGACTGCATCACCCTTCCCTTCGTTTCCTTCCACTGCTCTGATCTCTTTGCATCTTCCATAAAACGTGAGTGACTTCTGTCGCTCCTTAAGAAGACTGAAGGACTTCTGTAGATTGTGTTTCTTGATCATCTCTTGAGTGCTATCAGCAAGCATGTTGTCTGCTTCTCTTAGCAAAAGTTGGAATTAGCCAAAGCTAGTTGCTAGATAAGTACCTGCAAATGACCACTTTTGCTTTCACCCATATTGCCTTTCACTGTTGTAAACATCTAGTTTGTTATTGTAATGCTTTCTGCAAAACCATGGCTTTTTGTATACCTATGAAAAGCTTGACAGCTATCCATCCATCTTCTGGTGTGAAGAGTTTCAGTACAGTAGGATTTGTTCAGTTCTTTTGTACTCCTGTGTGGCTTTATATCCTTCGTTTTTTAGGCGTCTTACTAACTGCTCAAGTTCACGGAACTTACAGTACCCCTTGCACTGGCTCCTGGCTTGTGCTGGAGCTGCCTCTGTAGACCTGTCAAATAAAGTTGTGGTTGAACCTGGCAACAAAATTGCATTTCCATTAAAAGTGGAAAGGAAGGGGTTGGGTGAGCGGAAGCACGCAAAGGAAAGCTGAAGAATTGAACAAGAAAATTAATTCTGAAAATTGAGCATTCAAAGGATGTAGTAAAATTATTTGTGCATTGAATATAAAACATACACCTCATTTAAAAATAAAAATGAATTTATGCCTTAGTTACAGTTGCTCAAGAAAATAGAGGCTAACAAGCTTTTGTTTCTGTGCTCATCTGAGAGTAAGAAGACAAAATGTTTTTTTTTTAATTCGGGGGAGTTCAATGCGTTTTACGTCAAAAGAACTTTAAAACCAACAGCTATTGTCGCAGCCGTCATTTCAGGATTCATCAATTGACTATGAAAGAGGAATGGATTTCTTGAAATATCGAAAGTGATTGACGTGTGCTGTGTTGAATTCAGCATATATTTAATTATTCTTGCAAGGGGGAGTACTTGGATTCAGGGGTATCTCCCTGCCTTGATCCATCACTTCTCAATGATGGTCTTGAAAAGGTGACTGTAGAGCACAGGGAGTGGGGCCTGCAAGCCTGGGCGGGCTACTTTACGTGCAACTGCCTAGGAGTGAAAAACATAGCATGAAGCTGAAGGGCAGCGGGTAGCTTGTCTGTCTCCTCTCAGGGCAGGAAAGTAGGGGCTGAGGAAAAAGACCAAAGCTGCAGAGACTTCTGAGTGTGTGTATAAGGTACAGGGGTAGGAAACAAAATGAAAAGAAGAAAGAAAAGAAGGTTTGTCATTAACCACACAGTTTTCTTCTAATTGTTATAATTAGTAATAGCTTCAGGAATCTTATCAATGTTCTCTAATACAATTACAAGAAAAACTTTTCTGTTTGTTCTGGCTGGAAGAAATAATAAATGTAGTAAGAAACGGCTGTATTAAAACCTAAAAATGGCTAAAATTCTTTCTTAGGTAATCCTATTTCTTAACTTCTTCCATCCCCTGTGTCTGAGCATGTATCTCAGATCTAACAGACTCCTGGAAATCACTGTCAAATGTTTGAATTAACTGCTTGACTCAGTAGATGTAGAAATATCACTAATAGCATTTTTCTTTTCTTCTGGAAAAGAGGCTGCAGGAGCTCCTCTGTAGGTTTTACCGCACTTTTTGGAAGCACTCTGCATCACAGCAGCTGAAAACACCAATGATTTTTCTCTTCCCACATAATTTCTTAGTGCGTTATATCTGTCCTTGAAGTGCTGTTTCCTAAAATATAGAGTTTGTGATTCACTGTGGAAAAACCCTTTTCTTAAGGGTTTGTCTAAGCATTGTAAATATTGGAAATCTTTACTGCAAAGAAGTCTAATATTATGATACTGGGAAAAGCTGGGATTCAGTTAGCAAAAATGGTTAAAATATGCAGTTGCGTATTCTTCTGTAATGGCCATCAAAATTAATTTTTTTTTTTTTGTCTCTACCAACAAAGTGCTGATGAAAATGACAACCTAAGTTAGGGAAAGGAGAATAAAGATCTGTGCATTTCAACGTAGCATTGGCAACAAATGTTGTTTACAAACTGAAAGGGATTGTACTGAGCCAGACTGGCCAAAAGTAGTCAGCTCAAACTTAGAAA